AACATGGATGTCCAATTGCATACAGTGCTGTATATACAGACAGTCCCAACCTACAAACAAAATAGGTTCTGAAGGTTTGTTCTAAAGTTGAATTTGTATGTAAGTCAGAACAGTTACATTTTAAAATAGCATAGGGATGGGTTAACACCCCTCTAGTGTTTGTTTTGCTGTCTGTGCCCCTGTTCAGAAGATTTTGCCTCATTTTCTTTCCCTGTGAGAATTGGATTTTGAAAAATGTGGCTTGTTATGTGAACAAGGATTTGTGATAAAGCTTCAGTGGAGACACCTTTTCCCCATGATAACTCTTTCAGGAATGAATTTCCCTTCCTAGTGGTAGATTTCTCTCACTTCCTGTTGTCTCACCCCTGTTCTTAACTATGAGTCATTTGTAAGTTGGTTGTTTGTAACTCGGGGACTGCTTGTATAATTATATCTTTTTGACTACAATCCTTTGGATAGTGGTTTGCAATTGCTGTTATTCCAGTTTGACAGAAGAGTGTTCCATGGTTAAGAGCAATACTCAACATGTAATCAAATGCAGTGGAAACCTTAGAAGAAACCTAAGGAGATACTCAGTAGAACCTTTAGATATTTAACCTCTAATTCTCCAATTAGGTCTCATTCTGGTGTATTCACTTACTTCATGGGTACATAACCCCTAGTACTACTAATCAAAACATTGTGTCTTTTCCTCCTTCGCTGATCTTTTTACCGAAAGAGAGAAAGAGAGACTAAACCAATAGTGGGAAGATATGGATTCTTGCAAGTGAAAACTGAAGTTGACATCTGGAAAATCCCATAAATAAGCAGAATAAATACACAATAAAATGCTCATTTGGAAATACACCAAATTCCCCTAGGAAATTGCATTGCTTACAAATGGCATTCTATGGAGAAGTAGCATACCCTGCCTTTCTCACTCCTCTACCACATACTGTAGATAAGGAATTTATTGGAAAAAGTGGGGGGAGTGGGATCAAAGCCTCCGAAACTCATGCTTTCAACTACTCACTGCGAATCTGTTTCTTTATTTCTTTAGAGGGATCCAGCCAATTCTGAAATGGTAAGAAAGAAGACATGAGGGGAAGTCCCCTTTAAGTACAATATAAGCACAGTATCTTGAACAGACACAGCACAGAGCTTGATCTCAGTCACCTTAACTTACCTTTTGACTGTCTGAGTCACAAAACGTGAGTCCAAAATAATCTTTCTCCAGGAGATTGAGATGCTCACAGACCATATCAAACAGAACCTGACCTCGGGCATGTTTCTGCAGAAGAGACAGACATATAGTAAGAACCAAAGGCCCATCTGGAAAATATTGTCTTCTTCCTTCCAGAATCTTCTATGTAGGAGTGAGGCAAAAGTGTGAATCTTTTTTGTTTTGATCATGTGGTTAAACACAAACGTTCTGCATTCTCTCTTAGCATGTCCAATATGCTATCATAATAGACTATCTAGGTCATACCTTTGCTCAAAGCAACTGAAGTGCTGCTTATGCCACAACTAGGGTAAAAAAGTAAATGGTTTAAATTGGGAGGGGGGGGGGAGGGAATATCTAAAAAATAATTTCTACACATCACACAGACACATTTATCATAGTAATGACTGTTTTTAGAAATCCAATTGAACTGCACTAATAAAGTAGAAACTGGATCACAGCAGAATACTGTTAAACTGATGTAATAATATGTCTGAAAAGAGGCCTTTAGATATATATGCTTTGCAATGTTGCTATTTACCTTCAAGTAACCCGCAGCTTATGGCAATCATACTTTGGGGTTTACTAGGCAATGTATGTCATTGTCTTCCAGTCAGCAGAGTTCCAATGGCTAAACTCTGATATCCTAGTTCAACACTCAAGCCAATAAACCACACTGGCTTTCACAAATATATTAAATTATCTTCAATAGTATTTTGGCAAACATATGCATAATAGCTTATGGTAAGCATTTTTCTATATAAATAAAAAATCAAACTGATAAGTTGGCAAATATCAACAACATTTCTTTATATAGCATTTCTATATAACTCTAAAGACTCTTGAGGTCCATCTACACAGGTCATAAAATCTGAGGCTGGTTCAAAGAACTGCTGGCTTACACCGGTCCCAGATTCTTCCATGGTGTTTACAGCACTCTGCTCTGGAATTGCTTCAGCAGTTGAAGTGGGGTATTCACTGTCCAGTCAAGCCAAACCCAGTTTGGTCCCACTGGACAGTCACTCTTACCTTTGTCATTTTACATCACTGTGGTAGCCACCATGGAGCTCCAGAGAGCTCTTGGTCATAGCTAGATGCCTTTGCTGATGTCAAGAAAGGCACCCTTGTAACTCAGAGAAGGAGCCATCCCATCTCCTCTCCAAGTTATGTAGGTGGTTTTGTTACCATCAGCAAAGGTGCCCAGTTTTGGCCTGAGCTCTGTGGCCATCAGTACAGTGATAAAAAATGAGGAAGATAAGAGCAGGAAAAGTGGATGGCAGCACCATTTTATGTGAACAGAGGGACCAGCTCTAAATCAGAAACCCGTGTTCCCCTTAAAATGTTTCTCAGGATATTTGCAGCATAATTTAAATACTCTAAAAACAGAGGGAGCGGGAACACAGCTTAAGAGCCTCAGCTAAATTCTTTATAAATTGCCCAAAAGGTGTGTGTTGTAAATTGCTATTACCAGCAAGAAGCAATAAATGATAGTAGTAGCCTTTTGAAATAAAGCAATTAACATTTTCCCACACAAGTAATCCACTGTATGCAGAGATTCATTAACCTGACATAGTAAAAAGCACTGAATCAGAGTAGGCATTTAACATGAGCCTTTTTGTCCTTTTTTTCTACTGTAGTCTTAAGTGGGTTCAAGAGATCAACTTTTGTGAGTAACAACCTGCATGGAGAAACTACACATCAATGAATGAGACAGGCATCAATGACATACTTGGGAGCTGATAATGAAATACTGCTTTCTCAGCTGCCTGCAGGAGTAAGGACACTGACTGAAAAGTGCCAGATACGACATCTGTTTTAGTGTCAGTTTGGAAAACCTCACCTAGGTTCTCTTTTTACATTCCATCATTTGGCTTCAGTTATTGTACTTGCTTTCCACCGCTTTTTGATTCACATAAAATTTCAATCCTTTTTTGTAAATCTCCGCACTTGCCAACCCTAAATGTAGCCAATAATGTCAGTTTCTTGGAATGTATTTCCTTTCCCCCCTTTTTATTTTCCTGATTTGGAATAGTTGCCTGTCTGTACTCTCAAATTTTCCTGGTTTAGCAGAGACAACACTTTGAATGTTTGCCATATATATGTTGTGCTCCAATCTGGGTCCCCTTCAGGGTGAGAAACGTGGAATAATCATGCTTTAAATAAATAAATAAATAAATAAATAAATAAATAACACAGGTTAATCCCAAGCACTCTCTCTTCTCCCAGCTTCAAGAAAATCTCAATTTTCCCTTCCTTATCTCCCCATTGGCCCATCATTTATGTCTTAAGTCAGTTGTGACAAACTGAGTTCAAAGTTCAAAAGTAGTTCATAGTCAATTGAGCAAGAGGAAGAGGAGGGGGCAAAATCTTGCTTTTTTCCTGTGGACTCAGGCAAAAGTAACTGCTGCAGCTACTCCAAGCTATGGAACACAACATTGTGTGCATATCAAAATTTATTCTTATTTATTTATTTATTTATTTATTTATTTATTTATATTTATTTATTTAAAACTTTTATATCCCAATCTTCTCTACCTCCATAGAGGGACTCAGACTGGCTAATAGCAAGAATTCAATGCTAACAGTAAAAACCTTTTAAAACATCATACATAAACAATCAGTTAAAAATACATATAAGATAAAGTGCTTATAAACCATTTGCCAAGCTAAAATAATGTCCAACTCAGTCTGCACATTGTGGTCAATAAATTTAGCCAATTACCAGTTTCAGCCATCACTCTGCAAATGCCTCGTTCCACAACCAGGATTTCACTAGCTTCCTAAAGGTCAGGAGAGAAGGGGCAGACCTAACCTCATTCAGGAGATAGTTCCATAGCCGGGGGGTCACCACAGAAAAGACCCTGTCTTTCGTCCCCACCAGATGCGACTGCAAAAGTGGCGGGACTGAGAGTAGGGCCTCTCCAGAAGATCGTAACGCTCTTGATGGTTCATAAGGGAGAATACGTTCAGACAGGTAAACTTGACATAGACAGAAGGAATAGACATAACTTTGTTTTCCCACAGACATACGCATTCACCTTGCACTCCAATTTTGTAAAAAAAGGTAAAGTTTATCCCCTGACATTAAGTCCAGTCATGTCTGACTCTGGGGTGTGGTGCTCATCCCCATTTCTAAGCCGGAGAGCCAGCATTGTCCATAGACACCTCCAAGGTCATGTGGCTGGCATGACTGCATGGAGCGCCGTTACCTTTCCACCGGAGCGGTACCTATTGATCTACTATTGATCTACTCACATTTACATGTTTTCGAACTGCTAGGTTGGCAGAAGCCAGGGCTGACAGCGGAAGCTCATGCCGCTCCCTGGAATCAAACGTGCGACCTTTCGGTCAACAAGCTCAGCAGCTCAGCGCTTTAACCCACTGTGCCACCAGGGACTCCCAATTTTGTAAAACAGTATCAATATTTCAAGAAGCATTCCTGGTTTGAACTTTCTTTTTGTTTCTTGATTTCCATTTTGTGTTTCCCTTTACAATTTGCCTAAACTTTACATTTCAGAGCTTCTTTTGATAGTTATCTTCCCTGCATTCACTCTACTTTGATTTACATTTGATTCACATAATGTGCAAAGGCTGCCCAGTGCCATTGGAAAGAAACAGTAACCTGTGGAAATTGAATATTAGAAAAATGTAACTGTCTCCTTACTCTGATAGTTTCTTTCCCCCCTGTAGAGCTATGTTTAATTTACATTAACAATTCAATTAAAAGTGAATGCATTTATAACCTGAGACATTATAAAAGGCAATATTATTTTCAATGATGATGCTATTTTTTATTTATACCTCACTTTTCTCTCCACAAGGAGGCTATCATGTTTTTTTTCAAACTTTATCTTTCCATCTCCTGGGGCTAAAAGAACTGCACATTATTTTTCCTCATTTATACTCCCTTTTTATTTTAAGAACAACCCTGTGAAGTAGCTTAGACTGAAGTGCCATGACCAGCTCATGGGGATCACATGAGTGATGAGTATTAAATTGCAGGAAAGTTCACATTTGGCCTGATCTGTGATGTGTATTTGAGAAAGGATGGGCATGAACACAGGGTTCATACAGTGGATCTGAAGGAATGCTATAATTTTGAGATCTTAGGGGAAAGGCATTTTATTTCAGAAAAATATATAATATTACATTTACTGTTATTCAGACTATGTGTACACACGCCCGCACACATAGTATTAATTGATTTATGGGTTTTTGTTAGGCTTGATTAAATTGGGGGCATAAATACCAGAGTCTCTGCTTAAAACAGTAGTTTGTATGTTTCTTCCTGTAGAGATGCTCAATGTATTGTCGATGTTCACTGTATTGTCGACAATACATAGTTTGTATGTTCTTTCTCACTAATAACATTTGCCACCTTGATGACACACCTTGATGTTCTTGGCTACATTACCTTGTTTTCATCTGTGAAATGTTGGAGGGTATGTCTATTCCCATTTCTGAGAGATTTGCACTTACTGCATGACTCCATTAAAACTTTGTCTAAATCCTCCTATATCAACTTACCTTCCCATTGTGTTGTAAAACCCTCACCTGCCCACCCCTTCTCTCCCCTTTCCTCCTGCCAAAAAAAATCACTTGTCTAATGTAGGGAGAAAAGTCTTTGATCCTCATTTCAGTGTTCCACATCTAAACAGCAAGCTAAGAGTAGTACAGTGACACAGATCTCTCGGTGCATCTGTCAAAGACAAAATATCAGCCACAGTTTTCAGAGAAGGACGACTAATTCCGTGAGCACTTTTAGGCCTCTGAAAAGCTCACCTCTCTGGCTTTGAAAGTTCCTTTAATAATCCATTCTATTCCATCCCCCACCCTCCACACCTTTTGCTTAAAGATAACTTTCATCTCTGTAACAATCAGACCCACTGCAGTCAGTAAAGCTCCCTCTCAGAATCTCCCTGTTAAGAGATGTCAGCTAAAGAGCCTGACTGCTGGAGAGCGGAGATGAAAGCAACAGACAGGCTCTGATCCCTTTCACCTTCTCTCAGTTCTTTATTTCACTGTATTTATTTCACTCGTTTTTTGCCTTCTTGCATATTATCTGAAGC